ATAAAATGCAATGCATGTACTGTTGTACATAAACTTGAAAAGAAAAAAAAAAAAATTATTTCCTTTTGACAAGAGGTAATACATGGGACAGTAATAAAATAATTTTTACAGATAAGAATTATAATTTCAAGCTTCTGTGAATTTTTGCTATTCTTCATGCACAGTATAAAAGATGGAACCAAACTGATTTTATATTCATATAAAGAAATTATAAGTTACTGAAAAATAATTTAAAAAATTAATCTTGTGTATTACTTATGGTCTAAAAATTATATAAGATAAAAATAACTCAAAAATAATTTTAGATATTGCTATAGCTACCATTTTATAAATTTCATACTGAAACTCCCCCCCAAATCAAAACCATGGAAAAATAAATCATTAACCAAATGTTAATAGAAATAACATAAGCATGTTATTTCTATCATAAAGTTCTATAGATTTAAAATTCTTTTTGCTCTTTATGAAGAATGTTACACAAAAAAGCAAAATGAACATTCAAACTTGCACTACTCATGAAAAGGCACTTTCAAATTTGTAAACATGATGAGAGAATGCTAAGAAAACTTAAAACTTCTTTGAAATATTGGGCAAACTCCAAAAATAAAGCATGCAGCTAACAAAACTTCTATTATTATTTGCAATTTCCAATTTATTATTCTTCAAATTCTGATGAAAATGAATATTTATTGCTGAATTTGAATCTACATATGATTTTAGAGCGATATGCATTATGTATCTTCTTATAGAGATATTTATAAATATAGTATACAGTCAAAAGTCTTCGGCGATTCCGGATTATCAATCATCAGTTTAAATCTGGTAAGATGGCATGCAGAAATTATAAAAATTAAAATATGAAACCATAATTTATGAAATAAAGAGCAATTATGATCTAAAGAATATCAAAATTACAAAAAAAAAAAAAAAAAGCTTAATATTTTTGTTACTTTATTAACATTTTCCAATGTAAGTTGTTTAAGTTGCTTGTTTTTATGTGATAACATTCTCTTTAATTCATAAACAGACATAATTTCTGTCAGTTACAAAGTTCCGCTATTCAAGTCCTATAATTGCTGTGTCTACCGACTATTGTCCAATTGAAATTTTTTCGTTTTCAATAACCTCTGCACTTTCTTCGCTATCGGAAGCGAATTATAATGAGAGGAATTTGATTTAAACTATCAAAGATGGGTACTCGAGATGAAATACTAAATTAGTAAGGAATTATAAGCCAAAAAAAAAAAATCTGCCCTGAAGATAAGGATGGTGCTGAAAGATCAACTTCCAATTCATTGCACGCTGTGGCGTTAAGAAAACAAAGTTTAGAAAACAAGTATATGCCTTCAATTCACTTTTTGTTTAATGAACTTGAAACATACTTTCGCTTTGTAGATCCTTTACATATTAAATAAATATATATCAGAAATTCTATTTGGACATATCGAAAGTTCAAGCTTACTTTTATAAAATTGCTCTAACAGTCTGCAAAAAATAATAAGCCGGATCCAATTTGAAGATTAAGGAACAACGCAATCTGCAACATTAACTGAAATAGATAATTAGATAATTTTAGCTTAGCTTATGCTGTCCGTTATACATTAAACGCGCACTTGTAAACGTATTTTGCGCACGCACACAAGCATATTCGCAGCCGTAAAGGTCTTACGCGCATGCGTCAACAGCTTCGAGGTCCGGATTATAGATCATTCTGGATTATGGGTGTCCGAATTAACGACTTTTGACTGTAACATACAAATTAAATTTTTTTCCTAAAAGTTGATTTAATATGCAAAAATGACCCAACCACTCCTTTACTATAATGGCAGTTCACACTAAATTTCAATTGTTATACTTGAGGATTATAAATTTCTACCTTGATTTAAAATCCCATTAATTGTGTCTTCAAGAATTGTTATACAGCATGACCTTGTTATATAACATTACCTTGTTAATAACAAATTAAAATGCAACAATATGAAATAAATAAAAAGATGGGTGTAATAAATAAATGAATGAATAAATAAATAAATGTAAGTATAATTTAATGAACTGTTTATTATAAAATCTTAAATTCCATAAATATATCTACATAAAGATCCAAATATATTCTGCATGCTTCTGACAATATTCTGAAAATACATCCCACTGAAGCTAATCAAAAATAAAGATTATGCATAAAGTGCTATTTGTATTTAAGGAAATAGCCAGGTTAAAAAGGTCTTTTATAATGACTGACTACTAAACAGGTTACTTAAATTATACTATTCTAGTCATCTAAAGAAAGCAAATCAGCAGGAAATAATTTCTAAAGAAAGTAAGTCAGCAAGAAAATACTGCAAAGTATGACAACAGAAATATCCCACTAAAATGAAGACTATGTAGATAGCTGAACAAATCAAAAAGTAACTAACAGAAAGTGAAACCAAGTAATTACCACAACAAAACTAATTAGAAAAAAATAGCTATTAAAATGTAAAAAAATATTCTGGCAAATGGCTAAAATGCTTATACAAGATTTGAGTTTGACATCTGACCCGAGATCTTCAAACAAATTATTTCATTATAGCAGGTTTCCATTAATTTTGATTAATCTATGAATGGGCAGAATACTGATAAGAAGATAAAATAATGGTAAATGTTAAATCAAAGAAGAAATTTCTGAAATGTATTTTGTTCAGGCCATGGACAGATAAAAACTAAGAGAATATATAATGATATATCAAAAAGTTTCTAAATTAGCTGTATAGCATACTAACTAGAGATACTGCCATGTTAAACATCAGGTATTGCTATATATGTAATCATGTGTATGCGACCTGTTATTTAATGGACATAAAGGTGGAACAACAAGCCAACAGGAAATTTCACATTAAAATGGGCAAATTAGCCAAGACATAGAACATATAGCGACAAACTCAGAATTATGCAGCATTTAACTATGTTCAATGTTTTGAGTGGCATAAGTGCTTAAAAGGTGGAAGAACACACTTGGAAAACAATGAGGAATTCTCAGAAACATAGCAAACATTATTGTTACAGTGCAAACAATTGTATCACCAAAACTGATCATGAGATGTATTACTAAGAAGGTTGTCCTCTGATTGCTTACCCTCTCAGCAGAAGCAACTTAGCATTATAGTGTTCCAAGATTTCTGTAAGCATATCATGTATAACCAACCCATTTTTTGAGTCCAGGGTTATCACTGGCTACGAGATCCAGAGTGAATCAGAAATGGTTATGGACTCCCTTCCACAAAACGATTTCAAAGCTGAATTCCGGCAATGGTAGAAATGCTGGAACCACAGCTGATACACAAGGTGACCATTTCAAAGAAGATGACATTTTGATTTAAATAAGCAATGCTTTTTTTACCTTCCTGTCAACATAGCTAAAGTAGGAGCTTTTCAATACACTTTTGCTTAACAAAAGCTTTAATATAATCTAGTCATTAACAGATTATAAATAAAAAATAATTTTGTTTTATAATAACCCGATACCTACTATCAAGACATCATACATATTAATTTTTCTTTGACAAAATTACATTCCTTAAATCAACTTGAGCAATAAAAGCAAAATCTCAAACCTGATCAAAGCTACATTTCTTTCTTAGAATTACTAATTCTACAAATGCAATAAAATAGTGATAAAATCCAAAACTATGCATTCATTTAAAATAAAAATATTCAAATAATTTACTATAAAAAATTACTAATAACTATTATAAACTATCTACCTATAATATTACTATCAAAAATATTAAATACTTTACTGTAAAAATGCTAGTAATTAAAATATCAAATTCTATATAAAAGCAAAGTATATCTAAAATAACAAAACTACGACAACTATAGTAAATCAAAAGTGTTCTGAAAAACGTCATGACATAATATAATAGTTAATTTTGTTGTACAAAACTAGGGCATATCATAGATAATGAAAATACAAATTACATTTCTATAGAAAAGGAAAATCAAATTTGTTTTAATCAATGTTGTTTCATTTACTCAATTCTAGTAAATTGAATAATTATAACAAAATTAATAAATAAAATTTATTAAATGTTTGCAGCTTGCTAAATTTTTATATTAAACTAATGATTATAAAGTTCTTTTTCAAATCTTTCAAAAATGTAAGTTTCTTAATTAATTTATATAAAAATACAAAAATGCATAATTCAGAAAAAATTTAATTTTAAAGAGATGTTTCTTTAAAGTCCAACATAAACATATTTGAGTATGTTATAAAACATTATAAAATAGTTCAGCTTGTCAATAATTGATTGTTATGAAATTTTTGCAAAAAAATACACGACCTTTGAAAAAAACATTGTGAACTAATACATTCATAACTATAATTTGCATCAGTTTATAAAATGTTATTAATTTGGACTCTACTTTCAAAATGACATTGCTAAGGATGCTACAAAGTGATCATTTGGGATCTGACAGAAATTCTGAAAAATTTCTTTCCCATCCCCCCTCTTAATTTTTATTTCCAAAAAATAAATATGTGATTCAGAAATTTTTTTAAAAGAAATTCATAAAATGTAATTGTAATATTGAATAAAATTTATACTGGAAATATTAAAATGAAATTGATTTTATTACAGTATTTTAACCTGAGTTTGCATTTTAAAATTTCTTTTCACACAATAAATTGCATATTAACCCTAGATGAATAAAATATTTAAAACTGCATATAAGAATATATTTTTAAATTATGACTTCATCATGACATCAAACAAATTTAAAAGTGAAAAAAAATATTCATGGTGTATAAATATCACGAAATTTCTGTACATGCAGCTATTCAGTACAATGGCAGTTAACATAAAATAATTTGATTATCTTATTCTTTGGCTATTTACCATTTTAAAATTAACTTAATATTATACTCTGAAATTTAAAAAAAAAAAAAAAAAATTCTATTGATGGAATAATAATATGTCTTGTCAGTGTTCCTGAATTTTATCACCCAAACTTATACTCAAGCATTTAAAAAATTATAAATACTTTATTTTATGAACATAACAGGGGAAAAAAAAGCAACAGACAAAAATGTTTATGGCAATAAAAAATTATATGAAATAAAAGTGTGGAAATCAAATGAGACAAAGAATATCAGAGCAATTAGTTTCGTACAACCAGGAAAAGATTTTGCTAGATGGTGTGGTGAAGTTTCAGATAAGTAAATAAATTATAACAATACATAAAGCATTGAATTCAATAAATTGACAGTTAAACAACACTTTTAAATGTTTTTCATGCAATAACTACTGTAATTAAGGAATTTAAAAAAATTCAAATAGTTTGTAAATGAAACAAAATTACTTATAATTTTGTCTAAATTCACTCAGCCAGTTTCTAAGCAAACATAATATATTTAAAGACTAATTAAGTATACAAATATATATTTCTAGATCATAATATGAGTGTGATCTTATCAACTTAATTAAATGCTTTGTTTATAATTTAATCTGCATTTGATTTCAGGATTAACCTCCTATTTTTGCTTCCTTAACGTTAGGAAATGTACTATTACCTAACATGTACTATTCTCACTTTTTCTACTATCTATATAAAATCTTCATGTGCTTTTCTATAATCTACATCTAATCTCATCCAGTGTATATATATATGCTGAAATAATTCCTGTAATCAAAAATTTTAAATATAATACTAATTAACTATACACATATGTCTAAAATAAGCTTTGAATTTTCTCAGCTTAAAAATGAAACATTCCCAGAATACAAACAAAAATTTTTATTCTGCTCTAATAACTTTGATGGTTGGTAGTTTGTACAGTAAAAATGTCTCTTAAATTTTAAGGCACTTAAGACAGAATAAATTTTGAAATTGTATATGAAAGAAAAAAAGTCTGTGCAGTTATGAAAAAGAGCATTCACAGAAAGTCTTGCATTTACAAAAAAATTGGCTTTTTAGATACAAAACCTGAGAAGGAAGACATCATATGAAGATGAAAAAGATAATGCAAGAATATTTCTTCAATTTTGTACACATAATTAATTATACACATTTCATCCAAAATTTACATCACAGCATTCATTCAACTGTCAAAGAAATATTTACATCATTAAAAAGAACAATTCACAGCATCAAAATACGAAAACATCAAAGAACTACATCAGATTTAAAAAGTTGCTCTTGAATAGATATTCTTTGTTGTGGTGTTCCAATAGAAAATCATTTTTTAAGTACTGAAAACAGTAATAAAATACATTTACAAATTCAAAATGTTTAAAAGTTTAACTTACAAACAACTTCACAATTATATATTGGCACGTGCACCATTTCTAAGGAAGCATGCCAAACAACAGGCAAACATCTAAAATTTAATCTCCACACATCACAGCTCTTCAAGGAGCTACAATATTTCACATGTAATTCTCACATGTATTTATATTTACAATTTTAGGTATTATAAATTTTTTAAAGCATTGTAGATCACTTTTTACACAAAAGGTTTTTTATAAAATATATATAATTCGAAAATTGCACAATGCAGTAAGCTTCATAGAAATAATTTGTTTCTTCAACTATAAATTTTCACTGCCATCTCCAGCTTCCTGGTGTACAGTCTTTTGCTCTTGCACCTCTGGATGTATTTCTTTATTTTCTACACATGTGTCATTATCCTCGCAGGTTCGAGAAGTCTTTTCAGGCTTAACTGTGCCATTTTTTGACTTTTCTGGGGATGTTTTGTCTTTCCCATATGATGATCCTTTATCAGCCTTCGTGACACGTACCATCATGTACATTGCAGTGAATACTAGAAAGATTCCAATATTCAGGCCATATAGTATATGAAAACGTTAAATCTTAACAAGAACATAATTCCAAAGTGTAGTTACTAATCAAGTTTCCACTATAGTATAGATGCAAAATTTAAGAAAAACACAACAAAAGTTTAAAATAATTCAGTACAGTATAGTAGAAAAGGACAAAAATATCAAAATTAGCATACTAATATTAAAACTCTTAATTACATTTTGATAATGTGTCTGTAAGCTTTCACTCATTCACTACCTTTTCTAAGGGGGGGGGGACGATATCTGCCCATGATGCATTTGAACAGTTGCATCATATCTTGGCAGTATGAAATAAAAATTAGGAGTGCAATTTATGTTTTTAAGATACACAAACATCCTGCCTTGTAAACTGAGCAAGCATGTCACATCTTTCACTTCATTCTACACTTTGTTTTCACAACATATTTTTTATACATGAAAACTTACTTTTTATATCAATAAACTATATAACTATGATGATTAGAGTTGTACATGTTATATTAAATAATGAAATAAAATCTATAAGATATAGCTCCTTTCCAAGAAGGATCTTGCGATGCTGAATATTATACCAAAGGGCCTGTAACAGCTTTAAAATAATATTAAAATCTTGTAGATTAAATAATTTTAATTAGATGAACATTAAGGTATTTGTGAATGGCAATATTTGAAACCAGGCTCGAGTGCCTCGTGCGACTCTCGCACGAAGAATGTAATTTATTTTTAAATGATAGAATATGTTTTCTCTTCTTGTTTGTATGTCGCCTCTTTTTTTGAGTGTTAAATAAAAGTTTTTGCTGTGTTCCATCATTGGAGTTGCTTCATTTCGCCAAAGAAGTATTACAGGCCCGAGTTCAAATCCCAGAGAAGGCATGGATGTTTGTAAATGTACAGTGTCCATGCGGCATGGGGCCACTCTAAATATGTGGCAAACAAAAAGACCTCTTGAGAAGTTGGCGGTAGGAGAAGAGGGGCGGGGAACCTTCGGACCCTTTCCCCCAGAGTGCTATCAAAATTGGGGGCAGAACTGAGCAAAGTCTTACTGTCACCTGTGTGTGCTAAAGAATCTTGCCAACGACAGGCGCAATCATGCACTCCTTGCCACGATGAATTTCATGGAACTTGTTCTGATGTTACTGTCAGACAAGTGAGATAAATCACAACAACAACCTACCAGCATGTAACATTAAAAAATCATTATACACTGCTATTGTGACTAGAAAAATCCTGGAACAACATACCATTACTCTTAAAACAAAATAAAATCTGTGAACTGCGATTTTTGCAGGCCCTAATACCTGTGGTATTTTGCTGTTGTCTGTAAGCAACAATGGGGCATATAAAATGCCACGTGTGCTCACAATATTTGCAACCATAGATTGCCAAACATTATTTATCTGTGAATTCCAAGGGTGCATAATAACATTCAATCCTGGCAGTGCCCATACAGCGCATGCGCCCATTAGACCACTAACAAGTAGAGTTTGGGAATAATAATGTTTGGCAATACAGAGAAAATACACAGCAGACAAACAGTTTTAAGATACACTGACCAGTACTTTGTATAGGAGATCTTTAGTCCATTATAGCAGCAAAAGATCTTAGCAACAGCTGCTTCAAAATACAAATCAACACTGAGTAAAGTGCACCAAATTTATGCATCCTAAAACATATGATATAATCGAAAACAAAGTGGCATAAATCCACCGCGCAACATGGAAATCACTGATCACAGAATACTTCAAACTCCACAAATCTGTCAATCTATAGCTGCAGATATTCCATGCAGATGAATCATTTTATATGTCTGCTCTAGGACCTGTGGGTATGCTAGATGATGCACTTTACTCCTCTGGTTTCATTCACATACCTGATTATTCCTGAAAGTTTTACAGTGATTATAGTCGAGAAATTTGACAGATTTTCTTATGAGTTCCAGTTCCATTGGGAAAAAAAAAGGGCTAAGTTGTAAAGTTTTTTTTTTTTTTTTGTTTGTTTTGCTTACAGCTCAGAAAAGTAATACTAAGGCAATTTTCGATATCAACAATTCAATTTTTGATTTCATGTCAAGAGATAGTAAGTCAATCCCAACAATAGGAAGAGTTCAAGACATTTATCAGTGTCTCGAATTCACACACAAATGAAGAACTGTTGCACGAAAGACATCAAATCGAAAATACTTCTTCTATTAAAGATTCAGCAAATTATTGAAATGATTTCCTACTGTGACTAGATCTGATTTTTCAAGGAAACAATTACAGGGTTGCCACTCAAACAGGAGAATGAAATTCCCTGACCCTTTTTCATGTGTGTTTTAAGAAAATTCTAGTCTATCCACGTAGTGCGTGTTGGTAATGCTGGGTTAATAACAATGCTTTGGGGATTGCATATATATAAAATCCCCAAAGCATTACTATTATAACTATATTAGGAGTTGTTTTCTCCGCTGAAAATTGAGATTAGATTCTGCTCAATCTGGATTAAAAAATGTCTTTTCTTGTAGATATTTTGCAGCTAAATGAAAGAAATGATCTATTTAATGACATTTTAAAATAAATTCAGGTATTTTATATTTTAGCAGCATACATAAGCAAAAAAATATGTGCATTAAATTTTGTGATAGTATGTCATCATACTGCTAGAATTAGTTTCAAGATTATGCCAGAAAAAATTGCCTGAAATCTGAAGGTATTGTTAACTAATAATAAATAAATTTAGCGGAAAGAAGCCACATTAAATGGTATCAATAACATTAAAGTTAATTACTTAAAAACTGAATTACAATAATCAACGATATTTCAGCAAATATAGTTATATTAAATAGTTAGCCTAGATCAGTGATTCTCAACCACTAAGCCGTGGCACTTCTGTGTGCCGCCAAATTTTAGAAATGTATATAATAAAAGTTATAATGGGTTTAATCCTAGTATACGATACACATGAGAATTGGCGAAATTCGGTTTTTAAGACATTATAAGCATGCCTGGTATCCAAGCTGATTTTTTTGCCAAAGACTTCTGTATTTGAATTAATTTCGAATGAAGAGGAAGAACTAATTTCACTTTCTAATAATTGGGATTTAATTTTAAAATATTCGAAAGAATCAATTAATTCATTTTGGATTAACATTAGATGCGATCATCCCATAATGGCCAATAAAGCTTTAAAAATATTATTACAGTTTTCTACATCTTATTTGTGTGAATTTGGATTTTCAGTATTAATCAACATAAAAATGAAAAGAAGATTGAGACAGTTAAATGTAGAAGATCATATGAGAGCAGCATTGTTAATTTTATGACCAAATATAAATAAAATTATCAAAAACATCAAGCTCAAATTTCTCATTAAACGTATTCTTTAACTTGTAATTAATCCCTTAATAAGCATACTATTGTTTTTGTAGTGCATATTATTTTATTTTACATTCAAAATTATTATCATAAACTATTCTACACAGTGTGTTATAGGTAAGTAAACAACTTTTAAACTTATCTTTTCCTTTGTGTGCCTCCAAATTTTGAAATCGTTAAAAGTGTGCTGTGACAAAAAAAAGGTTGAGAATCACTGGCCTAGATGATTGATTACTATTTTTTATTTTACTGCAAAATGACAAATAAGGCATTTAGTAAAAAGAAAAAAAAAGGGGGGGTTTAAAAATTCCTAGTATAAGGGTCTGGCACGATTTTAAAAATTGTCGGCAACATCAAAATAACCTGTTTACTGCTCATCATCATGTCGCCAAATCCTGTGTTTGATACTCTGATACTTTTGTATCATACTGGTCCACAGCAGGAGATTTCTTTTCCTGCTCTTACCAGTTCCTTAATGAGTCCCAGACAAGCCTGTACCGTATACTAGGATTAAACTGATTTCCTTTCATATGAGAATGGGAAGGTATTTTCTTTAGTTCAACATGTGCTGCGAATGTGAATCTCTCGATTCTTGAGGTTATTGGAAACTTTGCCTTTCTAACAGACAATTTGATCGGAGCTGCGAAAATTGACTCTACGCCAGCAGCCTGAATGATGCTAACACAATACATTATTTGCCAAGAAAGTGATCGCTTCCAACGTTGGCACAAACTCTCTTTTTTAGGGATCGCCATATGAAATTCCCTGACTGTTCCAGATTTTGATAAAATATTTTAATTCCTTGACTTTTTGGTCAATTTTCGAATTCCCTGACTTTTTCCAGTTTTCCAGGTAGCATGGCAACCCTGACAATTATACTGAGAAAAATTAATTACACTGATATCGACCAGTCTTGATCTTTTCTTCATTGCACTGCTTACACACATCAGAATTATGAGTAGTAAATATAGAAATTTCCATAACTGTGTTTTGAAATTACTAAATTCACATACAAGTATCTTCTTCAACTTCTTCACAAGCATTTGAATTATTATATCCAAATATTACATATATACTTTAATAGCAATGACATTATAGATTAAACACTAAATGTTTTTTTTAATTTAGCAAATTATATATTAATAAATAAAGGCCATAAAACTTACATAATGCTATCACAGTAAAAGTGAGGGATGTCACCCACATACTTCCCATGGTTAACAATCTAAATATGAGGTATATAACAGGAACCCCTACAAGACATATCCATAATAATGAGTGCACCAGTGAATAGTAACTGCGCTGCAGTCTGATGCATTTCCCAGGGAATTTATTAGTTTTCAAATAATCATCCATTAGTTTATCCTGGAAAAACAATGAAACATACACATTCAAAAGAAAAAGAAATATACACATTAATATTTCTTCAAAAATTTCAGAAACCCCCTCAATTGCATTTACACGACTTTGATTTAACAGGATTTCAAAATAAATATTTCATTTTCTTGTAATACACATGTCACTTTTACTTAATAGGAAGGGTGAACTCAATTTCTAAGAATATTTTTAATTAAATTCTCAATTATGCTTTGTGTCAACCAAGTTTGGATTTTAGTCTTAAAAAAACAGCAACTCTGAATGTGTGTGGCTTGCCCACAATGTAAGCAAAGTTTTCATCATCTCTAATATGAATGAATTTCTCAGCATCATAACAATAGCATACACAATTGGTGGAGAAGGATTCAATGACATTTTTTGTTTGAACATATTGATGAATTGTTAATTGAGAAAGCCATAAGCCAGTGGTTCTCAACCTTTTTTTGCCCCATGCATCACTTCCATCATTGTTATATGATCATTCCCCTCCTCCTTCCTAAAATTAAAAAAATAAAAAATAAATAAATTTAGATTATTTTAAAATGTATTTTATAAACTAAACAGCAAAAAGTGTGGAAAATGATGATAAACACCAAAACTTGAATAAAAGTAGTCTTTTATATTCATAAACTAAATACTTAAAAGGTAAATAAAAACCTGATTGCATCTCCCCTGAAACGATGAATTTCCGGGGAAGAGGAGGAATTTCCACCTGGTTCGGAACTCTTGCCCTAACTGAAGATGAAATAACATAGGCTTGACATTTCTAATCCCATGGAATTTAGTGATAATGAAGAAAATGATCCAGTCTAAATCCAGATTTAACAAAGAATGTCTGGAAGCTGTTACCAGAACTTTGACAAAATCGTTACCATAATCTGTCTGACAAAACAGTTACCAGAAATTTGGGTTAACTTGTTTGTCAAATATGACCCTAATGAGAGACATACTGGGAAGTTTCAATGTGAACTAAAGTTACTTATAGCCTCTTACAGAGCATTGTATATAACAGCATAACCAAAACACAAACAATGATTAATAATAGAATTTCTTTGTAAAACCAGTGAAACATCAGCACCAAAGAAGATTCAAACTGATTTTGCTAAAGAGACCCCAGGAAGAATTTCATTAATATAGTAAAAAGACAATGCCCACAACATTTCTAGTGATATTTCAGATGTATGCAAAAGACTACAGTTTTTGCTGTTAGAAAATGCAAATAAAATCTCATGCATAAAACAGATTCTTTTTTGTTTGTTTGTCTGTTCATGAAGAATTTTTTTTTTTCATTTTGAATGCAAATTTACTTTAATATATTTCAGTACATATTATGACGGGCTCTTTGTTGGAAATAAAATAATAAGTTCAAAATTAATATTTGTTTACTTTTTTAAAAAATATTTGCTTATTCTTTAGATCTGCAACCAATTTCCTTTCATCCATAGTTTTTTTAATGTGAATGTTTTTATGCATAATCTTCAGGAACGTAACTATCATGTAAAACAGAATTAGGTGCATTCCAGAAGTAAGGAAGATCCCAGTAATAAGAAACTGAACTAACCTTTTCTTGATATAATTGATGTAACCATTTTGTTGTTGCTTCATCAGAATCCATTGGTATTTCACTCATAGGAATCCTTTTCACATACATATCACCAACAAATCTGTGCCCTCGCAACATATTTGAAAATGTAGGTTTAAGTTCGCCTTCTGGGAAACCCAACTGAACTTGATAGATAGCATTCACTAGAAAAAAAATTTAATCTTTTTGCAAAAATTTCCAAGTCTCAAATCAGATAATCTTAAGGTACTGCAGAAATAAATGGGAATTTACATCATTTCTCAATAGCCAAATAAAATTTAATCTATACGAACAGATTTAAAAAATTTTTACAGCAAAAACAAACACATTTCTGCAAAATAAAGTTTATTATTTTTGGTATGCTTCTGCAATCAGGACCAGATTCAGAAATGTATGCATGTATGGACAGTTTGGTTTGGTTTATTTAATTATGGCAAAGCACACTAGAGCTACCTGCCTAAGGGGAGGGATGCCTTCGTGGAGGACTTTCTAAGAGAAACTGGCTCATATACGTGTTACACACTGGGAAAATCACGAAAACGCCTATGCAGCCTGCACATACATGCATACATTAATTTCTGAATCCGGCCCCAATAACAAAAGAGCATCTTATTTTTAGACTGCAGAATCAAAATCAGCCTTATCTAAATTTTAAATTTTGCAGCTTTATCTTTCATTTTAATAATCGTAATAAAACAGCTCATGTGGACACTATATGCTTCCTTATATGACCTATTAAATTATACATATTGCACGTATTTTAACTTATTTTCTAAAATTATTCTAACCTAAATTACTGATCCCTTGGGAAAAGCCGAAAATGATCTGAAAAATTGCAATGACATTGCCAAAACATGAATATTTTCGTCATGTAAAACACTTGTGTAACTGGAAATTATATGACTATGACAAGCGATTTTGAAAATAAACGCTAGGTAAGAACTTTTAGGCTGGTTAAGTGGATGAATATATTGAATTGCTGATTGCAATAAAAAAGAGGTGCACAACTAGCAGTAACATATGAAATCTCAATGTTCTACGGCTATAATCATTTTTTAGTTATACGAGATGCGCACACGTCATGAAAAAATCCATTTTACAATCCATTCTGGGAAAAAGAAAAAAGTCATTTTTTCTGTGCATATGTACAGATCACATAAAAAAATCGTCCGAATGGATTTGGGAATGGTCAAAATGGATATTTCCGTTGAAATACGATACCAGGAAAGTAAAAGAAAGTAATTAATAAATAATCTTTTGCTGTTACTATGCCTTTGTCAGCTAGGTTTTTGACACACAGATCCCAAAACAAATTTAATGGAAGCACTTAGACATATGGCTACAGACTTTTCATTTTTTTTAAATCATAAAAATTGAAGAATCCAGATGAATTGTTTTTCATCAAGACAGTGCCAGCCCACTATACTTTTAATGACTATCGGAGATGTGTTGAAAACTCATTTTCCAAGATTACTGACTGGATAACAAAGAACTATTTTTGGGTCTCCCTTAAAAGCCTAGGTCTTGAACAATCATATTATACAGTCATTAAGAATACATTTAAGATATTCAGTTTCCCATTCACCTACAAAGAATATCTGCACAAATATAGACATTATCCTTAGACCTTATTTTAGAGTGAATATTAATAATTTGGGTGCATGTTCCCATGTTAGCATTGCACACAGAGAAAACTGTTATAAAGCAAAGTTTTAGAATTTTTATGTTGCCTAATAACAGTAATAAAAATATTTCAAAGCATATTTTATCAAGAATTAAGACAGAACTTTACCATTGTTTATTTTGAACTCTATACTTGCCCTTAAAAAATACTATTTTAAAATGCTAATGCCAGAGTTATTGATAAGTGGAAAAAACCTGTCTGTGTTTATTAATTTAACTGAATATTCATTAATGTTTCCATTAAAGTAAATTATATTAAATAATAAACATATAAAAAGCCAATGTTAATTTCTAACAAAAAAGGCAATTCACTCTGATAAAAACAAGGTTATACAATTTCAGAAAACAGAACTAAAAATACATTATTTTACATTGTTTCTGAATTATGTATAAAATAATTCATACCACTAGCAGCTTTTCTCTTTTTTAAGGAAAGGGAGGGCTTCCAATAATCACATTTAGATGACGAAATGAAGATGAATGTTAAAAAATTAGAATAAAAAGTAAAAAAAATTTTTTTTTAATGGACGAATTGTTCATAATGGGATACTAATATCATGGATAGAGATAAATTAGCTGTCTTTGTTTTTACTCATATTAATGACAGAACAGACTAGTCAAGAAATTTTTATTGTTATCTAAACAGAATTTAGTGAATAGTTTTCTTACTCATATTATTTATTAGAAAAAATTTGGAATTTATAAAAAACCCCTGGCGATGAAATATAATAGATCTGAAAAAGCAAAAGCAATGTACTTTTCTAGCACATCTCATATCCAATTCCTAAATTTTTTTTCAGTGAAATGCTTCTGAATTAACACACAAAGTAATACGCCTAAAAAAAATAGGCATATTAAATGCTTATAAATCATAAAAGGCTTCTTTCTATCCAGGAGCATTTAGTATAATTTTATAGAGGAAGCCTTCAAGTTTACAAACCTCCTCCTTTCATATGTTTTTATGATGATCAAGCGAGCACTCGACATCGATTCAGAAATATGGACTGTAATTAAATAGAAAAAGTTTTTATGTGTTTGAATATGCAACGACAAGTTTTGCTATTGATGTACAATGTTATTTCACAATAAGGTATGGATAAAAATCTGCTTCACTGTTGGACTGGTTGCTAATAGATCAAAACAAGGCTTTGGGCTAATGACCACTAAGAAAACCCAAAGTTAAGATTGTATGCTTAATTTTCTAAGGCTACATAATATTTGTTCCCCCCCCTTAAGTTTGGGCTATTTTATGCTATGCAATGCAGCAGCTGTTGTGATTATTGACAAGGACATGCTAAATTTGAGAACAGCATATCACATCGATATTTGCCAAGTTACAAAAAGGTCACATACAGAACATTTGCAAGCTAGCCATACAAACTTAAGGCACATGTTCTCCTGTGTAATATTTCAGCTGTACAATTAAAACTCTTATTTCTGTAAAACTTTGCAACTGGCAGTTTCTTTTTGGCAATTCCGCATTAATATTTTATCTACAATTATACTAAATTTTAATTTCAGATAAAAAAAAAAGAAATCTAAAAATGTTCAGTCTAAAACAACCTCCAGTTAGATAATTATAAAGAAATATTTAACTGATATCATCATGCAAATATCACAGAATTTGAGTCTTTCAGTTTCTAAATTATTGCATGTACATTATATTCAAAATATAATCATGTCATATAAAAACATGCTGACAGTTATGTAAAAATACTCACTTTTATTTTTCATATGAGACACAGCAAAATTGAAACCGCTAGTTCTGGGACAAAGGTGATGCTTTAACAGAGGCAAATTTCGTGCTTTCGCGAACTCCATGCTGGCTTCATGTTTTGCAGGAGTAAATCTTGTACCCTCACAGAAATAAAGAAGCTGAAAAAAAAAATTTTTTTTTCACTAAATCATACAGGACTACATATATTTTTTATACAATTACATGCTATACATTTTTATCATCAAGTTCAGCCAAAGCAATGTTGACAGAACTAGAGACTGAAAGAAATGCTAAAGCTGATAAATTAACAATCTTAACAAGCAATATACCTGGACCAAAAATAAAGTACTTTAAATATATATATATATATCTAAAATATGTTCCTATTCTTTGAAAACAATCTTGGGCATGCAAATACTTCTTCACAGCTTTTCATAGCTTCAATTTAAGGATGAATTTCTTGACCCTCATCAGAGCAGCTACCTCGACCCAAAAAAGCTCCTTCCATTGTCGTTTTGTTTAAAAAAAAGAGAGAGAGAGAGAGAATAGAAAAAGAGAACATATGACCAGAGCTGACAGAGGCAAGAAGCACTAAATGACACAAACTCTAGTTTCTCTGTAAAACATATACTATCTGGCAATGATATAACAACTCTATGTACATAAATATGCTTCTCCTGGCAAATTAGTGCAATTAATTAACAAAATTGGTGGATGGATACAATCTTCAGAGGATGAAAAAATAAAAAAAAAAAAAAAAAAAAAAAAAAAAAAAAAAAAAACTGAATTTTTAGGTTACTCCTTAACAACTGCAGTTTTAGAATTAACCACCAGTGAATGCTGGGAACTCAACCTGGCTTCAATCCCAGACAAACTGACTACCTGCATGTTTGGTTTTTGTGCTTTCTCCCATGTCTAATGTGAATATGAGCCATTTTCTTTTAAAAAGCTCCTCCATGAAGGCATTCCTCCATCTAAAAAAAAGGCTCTCCTGTGCTTTTCCATATTCAAGCAACCATTACCCCACCAGAAAAGTTTACATGTGTTGCTGTTAAAAGAATACATCAAAGGCTGACAATATTCACTGCTGGAATCACTGCAATACCTTGATGCCAATCAGATGTTCTTGTTAGTGATATACACATAAGTGTTTTAAAATTAATTCTTGTTGCCTCTGGTTCAGTTTTGTACTCTTTTCGGGGGAGATTTAATTTCTATAATTAAGATACCAATATCTCAATCTGACCTTTTGATGAATTAAAGTCATGAACAAGATATTTTAAGCCAATCTGGTGAAAAACAGTGTATGGGTAGCTAACAAAATCAAACTGATCTCCTATATTGAACAACTGAGTCTGCAGAAAATTTTGTTTAAAAAAAACATGGCACCCAATGGAGAAACTGTGACTTCATACTCAAATTAAGCACAGCAAAATAAGAATCCTAAAAAAAAAAATCTGGTACTTTTCCATTCCACCAGAGCAAATCTCGCCAAGCCGAATTTATTGGGTATCACGTAGAAAATGTTAAGACATTAGTTCTAAGAATTTTTTACTTTGGAGGCACACACATTTTAATATTGTTTAAATTTTTTTTCAAATGGATCTTACGTTTCCCTTCTCCCCATAAATTCCACAAGATAACTTTCCAGATGATGACATGCCATTCCTCTGTGTTTCTTATTTTGCCATTTGGCACTACCCACAGTCTTCTTATTTGTTGTGTGTGCATTCCAGTTTAATAAAACTGTATTTATGGTTCACTTTGAAATGTTCGAAACTTTCCTTTTCCAGTTTTTCAGTGCAATATGATTTCCATGAATCAGAATGTATTGTTGTGCATTTTCGAATATTTTCCTTGATTGCTTCTAATATAATACTCATAGATCGGTTTGGCACATTTACAAGGAAACATTTGTTTCATGGCGAACTCCACCAAAGATCTACTGTTGTGGATCCACTGTTGTTGATCAATCTGTCCTGCATTATTTTTGTGCTTTTTGAACATACTTTTATCCACTTCAACGATCATACTAGTTCCTCCTATTTTACATTGTTGACGTTTAAGGAAAGAAACCACACAAACGTCGTGCATGTAGTTATTCCAGTCCACAACTGTTCCGTGATGGATTCCCAACTGCTTTTCACACAATTTAACCAAAGTTAATTCTTCACTCCAACCATAAATAAACCTCACACACATGAAGAAACTCAATTTCGATGACTCAAACCATGTGCCTTTCCGTATACTCTTTTTACATCGAAATGTTGAAAACATGCAGTGCCATTGAATTTCGTCTTAATTTCATGATTATTACTATCATAAGTAGCAATTTTAGGCAAAACACGTTTTGCTTGAAAGAATCTGACAGATACTTCCTTTGTTTTGGGCAAATCTCAAATTTTCATTAGTTTTTCATCCATTTTTGATACATTAGGAAAAAGATGTTACTTTAAGAATTTACTATACTTTCATGGTACAACATCCTGATTAGCCGGTTCATATCGAATGACTCCAAGTGATTCCATCTCACATAAATTATAAAACAAAAATCTAATTATCTACATTAATTTTTAATTAAATCTTAATATGGAATACAAGTTTCAATGCTAGAACTATTTCAATTCGTACGAACTGCTTACTCAGAAATTATGTAAAACCACAGTGCTTTACATCGCTAGTGCACTGTTATTAGAATCAATGAATTTATACCTTGACTTTGCCTTTTCTATATTTTCGTCTTTGGGTGAGCAGTGTAATTGCACCCTAATTGAATTAATTTCTGAAAATGGCCTTTGGGCATAAAATTGAACTATCTGGTAAAAATTCTATGTAACTGTATGCCAATATTGAAAGCAACAATCAAACTGATAAAAACTGGCCATGACTTGTTTTGAAAATGTGGCGTAAAATGGTTACAAGTGGCGATAATTCGTTTGGCATCAGCTGTACCATTTTTGGCAACTTTATCGACTGCACCGGCGAAATGGAAAAGTACCAGAAATCTTTTTCATAATGCAACCAGTGTTGATGACTGTAATCAAAGATATGTCGTACTTTTACTCTAAAAAAATATAGGCATTAAAAAGTAACATATGAACTCAAACTGAAATTAAGAGAGAAAGAGTTACTTTTTTCAGAAGAAAAATTAGAATAAGCTATATGAACTCATTCATACAAATCACTGTCTAAATAATGTACATTTCAATGAGTCGATTGCAACCAACTAAAATTAAAGCAAAATACACAAAAGAAGATGCATACATTTCTTGCCATTACAGATTTTTTATAAGCTCTGATGTAAACAACTACTAAACAACGGAAAAACTGCCAGAATCTTTGCGTACAGGATTATTTTATCTACAAATGATGAAATACATTTCAAATAATGGATTACAAGGGAAAAGAAAACACACAAGCAAAATAATCATATCTGTCATTCTTATTTTTTCACAGAAGACATGCATACTTTTCAGAAGTAATTACAAATGATAGTTGCATTTGGGAATAATTTCAGTTCTTCACAGAATGTCACTGAATATATATTGCTTTGTCCAACAATACATAAAGCAAAGCACTAATGTAAATAAGGAATGGCTAATTAGAAAGCAGTTCACAATACACATTTTAATCCACACACATACTTTCCTTGCAGTTCTTCATACTCGCAGCTGCCACCTTGAAATATGAAAAGCCGGAGCTTCTGGGAGATTTTCATGCTGTGCAGAACAGCATTTTAAAAGAACTCCAAACTGATTAAATTTGCTTTATAAACACGTCTCAGTTCACTGAACTATTTACAATTCAGATATAAAATAGATTCACCTTCAGCCTCTGTGCAAAGTTGCTATTTCTTGAGCTCATGTCAGCCCATGATCCCTCACCTCCCGGCGACACTATACCGCTGGATAAGCACACATTGGATTGGAGTGTGCCTGTTGGACCTGAAAATACCGATATGGATAACTCGAATATGGATACATCGAATATCCAGGAGATTGGAAACACGGAACCTAAACCGAAAATAATTGTATTAGAAATCCGCAAGCAGATCCGAGAACTGGAAGTTAGGACTGAAATGACTAAAGACTTAAAATAAACAACTGGATGTTCTCCATGATGTATCTGTTCCCGACCGGTATACTCCCATGATGGCAAAGGAGATACGTGATATGAAAGCAGAAATGGAGCACCTTTGGTGTAAGCGCGATTTTTATACTACATTGTGTGCTAGGAATCCCCTCTCAAATCCTGCTGAACATAATACTAATATTGTTACTTGTGAGGATAATGCAAATGCTACTGTAATAGATAGTGTAAATAGTTCTAATGCTAAACGTAAATTACCCGAAAGCTCAGACTGTTCAGATGATAACAATGCTAGGAACAATGATGGTTTTGTTAAACCCAGCAGAGTTTCAGAACAAACTAAGAAAACCCTTTTAAGAGGCACCACTAACTACATTGCAACCAAAAATAGATTTAGTCCTTTGGACCATAGTGATAATAAATCACCTCCTGAGACAGAGTAAAATTCTAACAGTCAACTTGACAACTCCGCGAATCAAACGCAAATCCCACCACAGTCAAAATTTGTCCCTCCTATAATGGTTAAACCACCAGATAACATGAAATTTAATCTCTACATGAAACAACTGACAGATAGTCCAAAAGCAAAAATTTTGGCCGTATTAACAGTGAATTCCAGACAATTCACCCAAATACCCCTGATAATCACAATATACTAACAAAACTTCTACAGGATCATAAAGTCGAGCACTATGTCATTAACAAGCATCACCTAAGACCTATTAAGGTCATTATCCGAGGACTTAAAATCAATATGGAAATATGTGAAATTGCTGATATTCTCACGGAATCCACATTCAAAATTCACAAAGTCACCCAAACGACCAGGAATCGCACCAGACAATCAATGCCACGTTTTCAAGTGCAGCTCATACCCACACCCAATGTTGAAGAAATTTATCAGATAACTCATGTCTCTATTGTGCAAACTCAAAAATACATAAACAAAAATTTGATACCTTAGTGTCATAACTGCCAGAAATGGCATCAATCTTTGGATAATTGTTTCTTAACTCCCCATTGCGTGAAATGCGCCGGGGAACACAAATCTGCACTATGCCCCAAAAAAGGCTTCATAGAAAATCCTGTCTGTGCAAATTGCAATAATTCTCATCCGGCATCCTATAGGGGGTGCGAAAAATTCCCTAAACCTAAAAATAATAACTTCCAGGGACCCAAAAAACTTTTTTTACTCTGAAATGTTAACCAGCAAAGTCCAAAATCCGCAGGAGTTACATGTAGCAGAATCTTTTGCTCCCGATACAGCCACAGCCAACAGGAAGATCTCTGAAATCAATCAAACTCACAAATCAAATACTGCTAATAGTACCTTCAAACCGACTAAAAATCTTAACTCTACAGGATTTCTTGAATTATTTAAGCTCATAAAAGAACTAGAATCAATATTCGGTTCTAAACAAATATCCAAACTTGTTGCTATCATCGAAAAAAATCTAAATCAGCTTCGTAATGCTGAAACACAAATGTAAAAAACTATACATATTACTCCTTATTCTAGAAGCCAATCATGAATAGTCATGTTATTAAATTAAATTATTGCTTTAAAGCCACTAATGGCTCCTTCTTTGATCATGCACAGCTAATGTGCTGCCATATAGTTTAGTTTATAAAAAATATTTTTAAAAAATATTGTATGTTTCTCTATACATTGTTGCACCTAACTGTAAGATTCTTATGCATTTAAGTTCTGGAAAATATTAAAATATTTCTAAGTTCAGCAGGTATTGTTCTAAATTAAACCTACCCCCTCATTACTATTCGGCCGCCCTTCTAAATTCATATGGACTGGAAAGAGCCTTTAGCCCCTCCCCCTAGCACACAAATATTTGCACTGTACCCTATCAGCTCTTTCCTTGCTTTTGATGAAGATAACCATCTATCTGTTGCTTCTGGGCTTGCATTCCATCGATGATGCAAGTACATCTGATCACAGAGTAACTATGGAAGATATTTCACTTCAACTTTATTTACGTGTCTCATATATCGCTCTATTGCATTTCTACGAACTTCAACAAAATTGCCATTTGCTGCTACAGATTTGCCAGAAAAATTCTTCATTTTACAATACCAACGCCTAAGACCTCACAATGTGCTATTCAATATTCGAAAAATTATCTACTTATTATATTGGGATAGGGAGTCTTCCCAGGTTCCCACAACCATGAAGGTCTGTTCATGAAGCGATATAAAATATATTAATATTGATTAAATATAGTGAATTTTTACGTTCTTAGGATATTCCATTTTTTAATTTTCTTACACCTTTATATTGAGAAAACCCTGAATGTGGAAGCCAAGCTTTTATACATCAGAATACTTTTAAATATTATGAAAATAAAGTGAATAATTAATGTACATACTATTATATGAATAAACTTAGTAATTTACCGTCTATTACTGTAAAATAAAATTAAACACAAATATCCACCGATTAAACATCACTTGAATCTTCATAAAAAGGTTCTACAAATGTCTCAAGATTCAATACAAATAAAATTTGATAAAAAGTTTAATATAAATAAAATTTAATAAGAAAAATTATGCTGACAATCATTAAGAGTAGAAAATGAAATTTGAACAGTTTTAATTTCATTAATTAATAAATTACATTTTACAAAGTAAAAGCTAAAAATTAAAAATCAGAAAATTTCATTATCTACTAAAAGACCATGACATGTATTGAAAAATCAGAAGTCTGCTGGTAAAATCAAAAGTGTTGGCAGCTATGCATATTGCATTTCCATAAAATTTAGTTATTTAAGTATAACCTCATAGAACATGAATATTTGCATTTTTTGTAGCTGGCAGTGGTGTTTTTCTGAAGGAATGCAATGCTTTCTTTTCAATCTGTTGTCAAATTTCACAGTTCCATTAAAATTCATTGCGACAAAAACAAATGTACCCACAGTAAACAAATGTACAGTAAAAAGAAAGATTGGTGCTAATGTATTAAAAGTGGTCACCTTAGTAGAAGCCACCGAATTTTCACAATCTACCAACTCTGGCAACAGTGCCTATAACCGTTCTTCAAGCAACCATGCTCATAATAATCCTTCAGTCAAGCATCACTGCCATTTTTGTATGTGTTTGCTGAATTCCAAGTTCCAACATTTTTTTTTAAAAACAAATCATGATATTTTTTGCCTTAGTTTTAAAATATGAACTTATGAAATTTTCCAGCAATGGAAGAAACTGGGGTAAAATTTCTGCAAATTCAGCAGGAAACAGAATTTTGCTGAAAATTTTCTAAAGGGAGCAACAAGGAAATGTGTTTTTTAGATAGTCACTGTTGCCAAGGTTTGTGCGCAGCCAAGTGTCTATAATTCTGTGACTTTTTAAGTGAAAACAGATTGCTGTGTACTTTAAGAGGACATCGAAAAAAAAAAAAAAAAAAAAAAATTACAGAAAAATTTGAATAAGCAAGTGCTTAATTTTTTAATGTATCGCATAATTCCTTATTTAATAATTTAAATTTGTATTTTAAATTTCCAAAGTATGCTTTCTTTTCGTGTTGATAATGTTTACTGACTTACTACAAATATCGGTAGTTTGTGACTCTTTCTTTTGGGGAAAAAAAAAAAAAAAGGTAAAAAACCACCCACTTGCATCCAATAAGTAACTTTTACTTCTTCATCTGCAAAACATTGCTCAGTTGTGCCAGACTTACTGCTCTAATACAAGGTTGTTCAATAAGTTCGCGGAGTGCCATCTATTCGTCAATATTAGACCTAAAACTTCGATGCCATTTTCATATTTGTTCTTTCTTAAGAACACGTCAAAAGTTTCATTTCGATCTGTTAATTTATTCATTGTTTAACTGCCCTTTATATCTAACGTGTTGTGCCTATTTTCAGGTATGGATAAAATTGAGCAACATGCAGTTATCAAATTCTTTGTAAAGAAAGGTTTAAAGGCAATGGAAATTCATAACGAAATGGTAAATGTGTTGGGTGAATCTGCTTCTTCAAAAACAATGGTTTGCAAGTGGGCTAGTTTATTCAAAAGTGGTCGTACCAGCCTTGAAGACGATCCACGAGAGGGTCGTCCAAAAACTGCATCAACACCGGAAATCATCGGAAAAATACAAGATATGGTATTGGAAGACCATCGATTGACTGAAAGAGATTTAAGAGACTTTAGGTATTTTATTGGGCACAGTGAGCAATATTTTGAGTGTTAATTTGGGTTTCAAAAAACTCTGTGCAAAATGGGTGCCGCATTCTCTAACGATGGAGCAAAAACACATTCGGATGCGACTTTGCCAGCAACATTTGAAGCATTTTAAGAAGAATAAAAGCGATTTTATCCATCGATTTATCACAATGGATGAGACTTGGGTCTACCATCATGATCCTGAATCAACCACTGCTTAGCCAGGAGGCTAAGGAGTGGTGTGAACCCGGCTCTTCGGTGCCGAAGCGAGTTCGTGTGCAAAAATCAGCCAAGAAGGTGTTAGCATCAGTTTTTTGGGATGCGAAAGGAATTTTGTTTACAGATTACCTTCAAACTAAAATAACTGAATTGAAGTACAAATTGTTGCAACATCCAGCCTATTCGCCAGATTTAGCTCCCTCTGATTTCTGGCTCTTCCCACACCTCAAACAATATATCTGTGGAAAACGATTTTCTTCAAATGAAGAGGTAATAGCTGCCATGGAGAAATATTTTGCAGAGCTGCCGAAAAACCACTACAGTCAAGGGATGCATAAATTAGAAGACCGTTGGAATAAGTGTATTGAAGTTGAGGGAAACTACGTTGAAAAATAAAGTCATTTTTACAAATAAAAATTGGTTTCTTCATTTCCGTTCCACGAACTTATTGAACAACCTGGTATCCAAGTAATGAAATATTCATCAGAAAAATTATCACTGAATATCAAAAGTGTAAATCATATGCATTCAAACATGTGTACCAAGTGCTTACCTGAGTTGCCCCATAAATATATTTTGGTGACAATGTTTGTTCCCATATGACTTTTTGATGAAAATGTAACTAATTAGAAAGCACCAAGAATATACATACTTATTTCAAAATAGACTAAGATATAATTCATTTTAGAGCTATGTAAAAAGGTAAACATTTTCGAAATAAAGAAAATACAAAAAAAAAAAAAAAAAAAAAAAAAAAAAAAAAAAAATTTCATAGTAAATTATTTGTAAGAATAATTTCTCTCATAAAAACATTATTCTCCTTAAATTGCCATATTAAGATGCTGCAATGATAAGTGTTCCTCTACAATTAAACATGCAGTTAAAAATAATCTTTAATGCGTTTAAAAGCTTACCATGATAGGATCATCATATGAGACAAGATTATCCAACTTTGTTCCAAGTATAAGCTTATCCTTCTCCCAGTTTCTTTCTAAAAATATCATTTCAGCAAAAACCCATCCCCAGCCAATCACTGGAACGTTCCTCAAAGACTTTTTGGCACATGTTTTAGCATTCTGAAATAGCAATAATTCTTTAATTATCAATAGTGAAATATCTTCCAAGGTTAAATAACTATTTACATTAAACACATAAATTCACAAAATTATATTTTAAAATGTGATGCTAAAACTGTTTTAAACAAAATTAATAGTTTTAAATATTTACTGAAATACAATAAAACTCTCATCTATCCATCATAATGAATGATGTTGGGATGCTGATAAAACAGTAAATCACTCTTAACAATCATGACACAATTTTTGGACATAAATGCAGTCACCACTCCTCCCATTTTGCAAAATTCTTTCGCACCTTAGGAAGAGGAGACTGTGTCTTTCTACCCTGAAAACTGATAAGGGTTTTATGAAAAAGTGTTGCAAAACTAGGATTGCAGTTTCGTCTAATTTTAAATCATGATTTTCTTTAATGTAAAATCTCTCATTTACACATATTTTGTTCATAAGATTTCTTTGTCTATGAAATGGTTTTAGGTCCTGAAGTGAGAAATAGGAAAACAATGCTTCATTCTTGTTTATATGTCATCCTTCAGTGTGCTCTCTCAGTTATGTGTCACAAAACAGACATTCCTTTGCAAAAAGTTTGTTGCAAAATTTAGTTCAAATAAAAAGGATCTTGCACTGTATCATGTGATACTTTGGAAAGTGTGGTTTCTTATATGCTCTTTCTTCATATCATGGTCTTTTCCAACTCATTGGTAATTTTATGGTTCCAACATTCTTATGAAGTTAAATGAATGCAGTATTTCACTCCTTTCAGAATCATTTGCTTATCCCAGAATATGTTAAATAAAATATAGTGTATAGAATGGTCTTACAATTCTCTGCCCCTCCTTCATGTTTAAGTATTTTTATGCTGAGATTTTAATGAGCATGAGGAGGGCTTCTGATATTCTACTTTGGAAACATATATTTTTTTCCCTTATAATTCTTCAAAATATTTGCAGCAGATTGTCATTAAAAATTTCATAGCATTGTCCAAAATATTTTAAGTAAAAGCAAATCAACTTTAGATAGAATTTTGCCTACTTTCAAGATTTAAGTGGCATCCATTTTCCATAGCTATCACTTCTAACAATGAAACGGGGGGAACACATAATTCAATAAAAATACAAATATATATTAAATATATAAAAAGATGGTAGAGTGGTTTATCCCCTTGATAAGTCAATCTGAAATCAATGACGGTGGCTGCTTTTTTAATATTTAAAATTTACTTTTGGTTTTGGTGATTTTGCGGTAATTCTTGACAGATTTTTAAACAAATAGTTGAAATTATTTAAAATACCAATTTAAATTCTAAAAAATATTTTCATTGATGGTTTTAAACTTGTGTTCCTTGAAGATGATGTATGGAAAGTTTTCTTATTATAAATTATTATGAATTATTGGTTTATTACTTTGCAGCTTTAGCGCAACAAGGTTATAGGCTTTTTACTTTTAATTACTTTATTTTGAATTAAATATATAAAATATATATTTGTATTTATTATGAAGATTTAAACGGTCAATATTACTTATTTAAATTTACAATTATTTCTAACATTTAATGATTAATCAATCACTAAATATTAGAAAGTAATGTGAATAATTATTCAACAAGGAATGAAATAGACTTACTCCAAGCATTTGAAGCTTATCACAAACAAACCAACACATCAACCAATCAGTGTCATATTTGTGATTCATCACTACCATAGTGTGATCTTTTCCAAAATGTGCTAGACTTTCTTCATCTCCATAAAGATTACATGCAGAATTTGACCACCATTCACACATTGCAAGTATTTCTGGAAAAAGAAATTAAATAGAGCTACTTTTTATATTTTATACATAGAGAGGCTCTAAGAGATATGAAAAAACAATAGTCCTACCAAACGCACATCCTCTGCTGCTGCACAGAATGAAACACAGTTAAGAATTTTTGAAGGGTATAAAGCATAAACAAATTCTTTTCATAAAAATAAAATACGGGGGGGGGGGGGGGAAGAGATGGAAAAAATTTAAAAATTTCAAAGTGCAAAATCTACAAGTACTTAACCACACATATGCTAAGCATATGCCACATAACATTTTTGTGACACTGTGGGTTGCCACAAAATACTATTTTATGACATAATAGACTGTCTTATCAATAGTTTCTTACAACTTTTCGGTGGAATGCAGACAACCAGAAAGTGCCCTCTAATTACACACATAACCAACATCATGAAATCATACTGTGATATACACATACAAGTTGCATGAGATCACATTCCCTAACAATATCAAATGCCTACATTTGTTTTCAAGGTATTTACTTTTCAAGGCATTCCTTTACTAAATTTGTCTCTAACTTGTGACCCCTTATTTTCTCTGGTAGATTGGTTATTTATGCCAAGAAAAATATGAATGTTTCAATCATACCTCATATCTAATGCTAAATTTATATGCATTTTCTGAAAACTATTTGAAAACCCATTTAATTGCTTTCTGTTCCAATACAGCAAGTGTAATTTGGGGGGGGGGAGGGGAAAGCTTGAAATCAAAATCACATAAAACTTTTTTATGATGAAATATGAATTTTTAACCCTATTTTATTAATAATATTTATAATTAATTTATTTTCATTAAATAAAATAAATATTATATTAATGGGTTAGAATAAACATATGCTGTGCAGCTGTGGATATCTATTTTTCAAATATTCAATTTTCTATCAGTTTGCTATTAAATAAATATAAGTCTAATGCAAAAAATCACTTAATAAACTATTAAAATAAAAATATCACTGACGCATGCATCAGTTAAATTAAGTAAAAATTAAGAGGTATTTAATACGTAAATTAAATAAAAATATTTGTATTTATGTATTCACCTCTCTATTACCTACTTTTCAGATAACAAAAACCTATTTTATCATAAAAATTTATCACATCCAATTATTTTTGCACGATTAAATTCATTTTTAATCTCATTTTGGTCTATTCATTTATTAAAATAGAATAAAATGTCACTTTCTCAAATTAATGATAAGAACTGATAACTAAGAAAAACAAGATACTCAAGATATTTACTACAATGAAAAAGCAAACAACTTGTAGAATTTATCAAACAGGTGCAGCACTCTTATGAAATGCATCAAATAGAAAAGCATGCACAAGGGCACTCAAAGAATACTATGATAAAAAAAAAAGTTGCAATGAATTGAATCAGATACTGTAACTTTTCTATATAACGCCAATTTTGTAATAGCAGTAAGAACTGAAATTGTGAAAAACCGTTGAAGCACTTCAATCATATGCTTTTTTTTTTTTTTGGTACTAGTATGTTTTTTAACATTCTAAAAAAAAAAAAATTAAAAAATTCAGATTAGGCAAAAGAAAAGTGCTAAAGAAGATATAAAGAAAAGAAAACTATGTAAAAAACAGTGTAAATTTTGCTTCCCTGCCCATAAATAAAGGATTTTAAGGAAGTATTAAAAAGTCAGATTAAAACTGTTTATTATACATAAACTGTAAACAATCATTTCCTTACTTATTTTTTAATGACTATAGACTGAAGAGTTTTACTCAAATTACATCAGTATTTCAATATAACAACAGTAAATGAATTTTTGCTAAATTTATCTTATCACAGATTAGGCAAAAGATGATAAAAGAAATATATAAACAGAAAGTGTACATTTTGCTTTTTCCCCCAAAAAATAAAGGATTTTAAGGAAGCCAGATTAAAAACTCTTACACATAAACTGTAAACAATTTTCTTATTTATTTATTCATTTATCTTTTAATAAGTATACACTAAAGACTTTTATTCAAATTATAGCAGCACTTCAATACCACAGTAAATAAATTTTATTAAATTTATCTTGTTAATAATGTTCCAAATACATGTGCTTGTAAATACATATTATTAATTTAATACCCATAATATTTTCTGCAGCGGTATCATATGCTTAGTTGGCAAACAACTAAAATTATATCTTTTCAAAACTAAGTGAAAGAATTATCGGCACTGTTCTATTATAGCAGAGCCACAGCCTTTGCGTGAATTAATGGTAATTGTGGTGCGAGTCAGGACTAGGGAACTGCGCTTGTTTTTCACCGTATTCAGTTATTCATATGCACATGTTTTATGCTTCATCCATTCATGAAATTTTTCTTGATAAAAATGCTTACTATTTTTAATCTGCCATCAACGGAGGAAGAAGCAACAGCTTTTTTTCAAAGAGAAATGCACTTGTTCTGCGAAAGAATTCGTAAACATGGTCATAAAATGCATTTGTACATCGGAGAAGAGAGGTTATAGCAATCTGTGATATGCGCATCAGAAAGGAGATGCAACATCAGAAATTCGAAAAAAAAAAAAAAAAAAAAAATCTTTGTGTGGGTTGGTTTAATGGATCGAGAATATTGTTTATCGCTCTGTTGCAACTAATGTATTGTTGGAGTGAGGAACTTACTTCATTAGGATGGTGCAACAAACAACTAAATGGCATATGGCAGTTGTTGATTGGAACAACTACATGAGGGAAGGGTGCTTTGACATCATGAAAAATATTCATTTGGAAAAATAAAAGGATCTGATAAGAACATTGAAATTGATAATCTGTTTTCGTAAAACAGAAGAACCATGCTGATATCCATGTACTGCCGAAAATCTTTCACAACAGTGGATTTTAGGCACCATTTGCAGGACAACAATGAGTGCTTCTTAGTTCAAGTATGCAACAGAAGTGCAAGAACCCTGATGAGAGAAATCCACAAGAAACATGTGAGGGCAGGTTTGATAATATACACATATTCCTGGAAAGGCTACTGATTTGAGGAACTGGAGGAATAGAGTTTCATTAATCATTGATATAAATTTGTTGATTTAATAACTAGAGTTCAAACTCAGAATATTGAGCACTTACAAGAGTCTTTCTTACCAAATGGTGGAGCAAAAAGCACAGAAGCATGGGGTGTCATTACCTAGAAACATGCCTAGCAGAATTCATCTTCCACCATCACTCTGATAATGTACATTAGCTAAAATTTCTGAGCTGTGATCACCGGAAATTATCTGCCAAAAATGAATTAACTGACGTGTTTATGCTTATTTTATTGAATATAATTCGTTTTGTCATTTATATTTAGCGTGAATCTGAAAAACTGAGCAAAACTTCATGGCCTAATAGAATGCAGCTATACAAGGAATATTTGTCATACAAAGTTTGGGTGGAATGCAAGCGGCGAGCCACTAGGTGACATTGGTATAAAAAGGGTTGGTCTTCGCAGCCAACAGCATTTTCTACCAAGAACTGCCGATAGGATGGCTGATTATATGAACCATAAAATTTCCAGGGCGATTGACTGGTGGTCGAGGTGGTCCCATAGCTTGACCACCAAGATCAACGAATGTCTTATGTTTGGACATTTTCCTGTGAGGCCATATCAAAAGCCTAATCTAAGAGTGCCCCATTGAAACGAATATAGATCTAGTTACTAGGACAGCCTTTGTTGGTGGTGATACTCGAGAACTGCCTGGTGTCTTCGCAAATGTGCGTCAGCCCCTATCTCACAGAGTGAAGCCTGCATTACAACCTGCGGAAGGTCTTTTGAACAATTTCTTTGAGCATGTACATCAATTTCATTCCTGTTGATAAAATGTGTTCTGAAGTATCTCCTCTCATTCTAGTGTTAATTGTATAAATGTGACAGTAAAAAAACTATCATTTAACTTCTCACCGCCTGCATTCCAACCATACATTCTGTGACTAATATTAGTCGTATAGCTGTGTTCTATCACTTCGTAAAGTTTTGCCCACTTTTTCAGGTTCACCCTGTATAATGCCTATTTTGTTTCATGAAATGCTTTTTAATCCCATTTACATTTAATTAATAAATATTTCATACACTGACGAGACAAAACATTATGCCCATTCCCACATTTTTCAAAGAACTCTTCTGGATGACGGGAAGAACACATGATTAAAGGAGAATGATATTTAACTACTGCTGGCTGTTATGCACCTGCCACACATTTTGACATATATGAGCATGATGGAAAAGTACTGTATTGTGTGTGTGCATAACAGAAAAGTACCATGTCTGTGTGCACGTGTGTTTGCTATCTATAAACTATAACTAGAAATTATTTTGGTAAAAATATATTTACGGGTACCCCTTGGCGATTTTTGGCAGTACATGGATACCAAGTTTGTGCAATTATTTGACTTGTTATTTTGACTTGTGTTGCACAAACTTGGTATCCATGTACACAACGACCTATTTTCACTTAAAAAGAAATCAGAGAATTGCACAATCCAGGCATTGCGCACTCCCTTGACTTTGTCCATGTACCATCGAACTATATTCACTTTAAAAGTCAAAAGAGCAGCCAACAAAAAAATATATAATCTCAATAAACTGCATTTTAAATAAAACAATGAAATAACATAAAAAAGGAAATTCATCTTTTCACCACACAAAGGAAATATCCGCTTACCTTATTTACGAATTAACATGTCTTCAGTCAAACAAAATTCCTTAACAACATTCAAAAACTTCCTAAACTTACCTGAACTAGAATCTGTACACTGGTGCCACCACATAAATTCACAAAATAAGAGTAAAAAATATCCTCTGTAGCACTGTTTATCATCTGATGTTCAACCGTATACATTTCCTTCCTATAAACAGGACACTTAATAATGGCTACTTGGTAAACCTTCATTTACACACTGGTCAAGTAATGCTCTTTTTCTTTCCAAATTGTACAGAAACTTCAAATTAATCTTACCACATTCAGCCATTTTACCGTCTAA